CCGGATGCCGTGCGCAAAGACAGTTGAACATAGTGGTGTATTAGAGGTAAAAAATTATATAAATACTGTTCGGTTTCTGGCACAAACCGATCGTTTCGTGTCTTAGGACATCAATGTGTCGTCACGAGCCGCAGGGTTTAATTTGGATTTGTCTGTGCATGTTTTTTTTTACTCTCATAGATTTAGTTACCATTGCCATGCATTATATGACTGATAGACTGCAATGGTTAAAGTTAAAAATCATCATATGTGTTCTACGAAGAAACAAAGTCACCTACATCGTGGATGCCCTGGGGGTAAGCAGATAAACATCAAATTTAAATTTTTGGGTGAACTATCCCTTTAAGGGATCTAAAAGACCATCTTTTAGATCTCTTAAAGGGATAGTTCACCCAAAAATTTAAATTTGATGTTTATCTGCTTCAGTCATGCAGAATAAGGCATTATTATATGTGCTTTATAAGTACTAATAAGCTGCCAATATACATGCTAATAAGCAACTAAATTGTGAGAATTGGTCCCTAAACTAAAATGACAGTCATGAAAGTATATACATATCTTATATATAGACTTCCTTTTTTTTCACAATGGCAGCTCATGTCCAGACCAGTGACAAACCAGTATAAACCACCTTTTCAGCAGTTTCCCCCCCTTTTCCCTTTTCCTGAAAAGTGTTTCTAGCTGTGAGTGATGTTTGAATTTAAAGTTGGGGAAAATGCCACATGCAGTAAGTGCACATGGAAGATTACACATTGGAAGATTAGCCTAAAGAATTAAAAACAGCATGCCACACATGCAGTTCATTAGGTTAAAATCACCCAGGCATATTCCGAGAAGAGAATATTACCATATGAACTCTCCTGTCCAATGAACTTAAGCTATCTTCATGTCCTTTCTGCCGTTTCTGTTGTGGATCAAATAAGGGGGTTGACGTGTCACATTTGGGGCAATGTTTTAACATGTCTACAGGGCATATCAACATTATCAACATATCAACATTTTAGCCACTGATGCAGTAATTCAGATAACACTTCCACGTCTGTGTATGTTATCCTGATATTTTTTTCACTTGTTTTGACACGTTTGACACTCTTGGTTTATTTTCAGTCTGTGACTCATAAAAGCAACACTCTTCAGACATAAAATCAGAGGACATTACATTTATACCATTTCATACAGCTGTAATTACCTGCAGCACTCGGTGTGTGCACAGTGCTGATATTTGCAACAACTCTTTTTTCATATGTTATTCATTCAAGCTGCATGATTTAATGCAGGCTTCTAATATTAAAATGTAACCAAATGTATAATAAATTATAAGTGATTTTTATTAATCTAGTATTTACTGATGTTTTAAATAACTTTCTCCAAATTGTGAAAAAGAAGTACAGTTTAGCATACTTTTAAAACTAACATGAAAAATAGATATAATAATATACTATTAAATATAAATAAAGTAATAATAATCAATTGTAACTTTTTTTTTTTTAAAGATCACATTGCATTTCCCTTCAGAATAAATGTATCTTCTGACAGCCTCTTCTTTTTTTTTTTTTTCAAACAGGTTTGATATTTCACATTTAAATTTTGAATTCAAATGAAGTAATATTCTTTAAAAGAATATACTCCCATGCAATCTGAATGTAATGTTTTTGGACACTTAAGGGGGGGGGGGTACAATGCTGTTTCATGCATTCAGAATTGTTTACACTGTTAAAGAGTTGGATTCTCAGCATGGACAAACAATTTGGACGTATGACGGAGTATTTCTGTGCCAAAAATCTTACTTCCGGGTTCGTACAAGTTTCTGAGTTTTTTCGATCGTGGCTCTTCATGACGTAAACGAGGGTGGACCTCCTTATATGGGCATTTCTCCCGGAAGAACGCGCCTGCGCACGCATCGACCAGAGAAAGAGCGAGATTGCACCCATCAACGGGCTTCATCCAATTCCGGCGGCAGCACTGCACGGAACTTGCTCGGGAAGAATGTCTCCAATCCAAAGAAGTGTGTTTTTGGTTGTAAGGGTGTGTGTCACAAGTGTGTTTGTTGACAAATGTTTTATAAACAAGGCTCAGTTTGACGCTGGATCTGCACATGGTTTGATACTGAAAGATGGAGCGGTCCCAGCTATAAAAGATCCAGGTCATGATTCAGAACTAAAGTGAAAGTAAGTGAAACGGCATCAAATAATTAATTAATAGTCCTTAGCCATCTTCAAGAAACGACTAAAAACACATCTGTTTCACCTTTATTTGACCCTCTAACTCTAGCCCTTTCTATTCTATTTTAATTCTACTTCATATTTATCTTCTTTTTTTATTTTAAAAAAAACAACAACAACAAAACAACAAACACTAGAATCCGTGTATCATTCGATCATTCGTTTTTTGATTTAATATTGAAAGTAGACAAATGAGAAAACGGCTCCTTTTTCGTTTTTTTCCAAAAAACGAAAAACGAGAATTCAGCTTAAATTTTTGTTTTTTGTTCATGGGTGGAAAAATGAATAAACAGCTTGAATATTCGATTTCTACACATGGGCGGGAATTAAATGCCCCTTTCTGCTGATTGGTCAGCCGAAGATCAAACCGTGCCATCATCAGTTCTTCTGCAGTATCACGCAGCAGAATAATAGTCCTCTGCTGCTGCAGTACGGATTAATAACCCATTTTATCAATTTCATATTTTTCTCATCAAACAGACTAATGAATAGCTCGACACAACTCGTACCGGGGCAGAGTCTAGACAGGTCTTTCTTCTGTGTAGACCAACGGTTCTTAAAGTGATAGGGGGTCCGAGAAATAATTAGCTATAGCCTAAATTATTTCCAGACTGTAGAGTCGCTTTTTTTTATCATGATACATAGGCCTACTGTGATTTATTCCAAAGTGACTTATATGATACGTTTAATGTCAAATAATCTAAATGAAGCCTTTTAAAAGACAAGTATTCACTGTGGTTGATGTTTGTGGCATGCGCCAGAAAGATGCTCAAGGAGACCGAGAGGCGCTAAAGCAGCGCATTCTGTTGTTCTCTTTATTTTTCAAAGGCATGACATTTTGTAGTTATTTTGAACGTAACGTTACACAATTAAAAATATAAATTTTACCATACGACTGTAAATGACAGAGTATTAAGTTATTTCCCCTCGATGGGGAAAAAATTTTTAAAATGCTGTCTAATCGCTCTCACTGTACTTTGATGTCACACACAGAACGGTCTGTGCAGCGCTGCTTCAAGTCCAACACCTTTTGTGTTTTATTAGGAGAAGCACAACAGTTCTTCTGTGGCTTTGTAGGTAATATTTTCACTTACACAATTTAGCAAAATCAGACAACATTGTGTCTAATATAAACCACAATATTAACTTCCTATTATTGAATTGTTGTAAATAAATATCACATTTGCAACTGGTCAGTATTAAAAAAATGCTGAGAAATCACTTCATGTAGCCCTACAAGAGTGATTACTGATAAACTGTCTGAAAAAAAAAAAGAAAGTCACGTTTTAGAGAAGAAAAAAAATCACCCACTGAATTTCAAAGCTGCTACATAGTAACGACTTTCTACTTCGAGGACCTTCATAGAAATGTAGTGGAGTGAAAAGTACAATATTTGTCTTTCAAATGTAGTGAAGTTAAAGTCATAAGTTCCCAGAAAAAATAATATTCAAGTAAAGTACAGATACACAAAAAGTGTACTTAAGTACAATATTCAAGAAAAAGAAAAAAAAAAGCTCATCGGTCTGAAAAAGCAAGGTGTGCTCTGATTGGCCAGCTATCCAGTGCGTTGTGATTGGCCGAATTCCTCAAGCGTGTGACGGAAATGTTACGTCCCTTACCATACTGTGATGCCTGCGGCAACCACATGTGACGACCCCGGGCTGGACTCCGCTTCGTCCACGGTGAAAGCCGATCCGGCGATCCACAGCGCAAAGTTGACGGCATCCAGGCATGACGAAGCGATATCGTCCTCTTTTGGAAGGCCAAACAAAGTAGTTTCGCTTTTACAACGAAACACACAGCGCCTTCACAACATGGCGGCGCCAACAACAATACTACAGCGAGAATCAAAGTTACGCCTTCAGTCTTTGCGTGAACATTTGGGCGGCGTTATGCAAATCTTCCCACATTGTGACGTAGACATGTGGGGGCGTGTTAGAACGAGACGTTTTAGGTAGGCGTGGCTGACTCTTAACTTTTACGAAGAATATCTCTTTGGATGTGAGACTTTAGTCTTTGCAACTTTACAGATCTTCTTTATGCACCAAGAGCTTGTAACACTCCAAAGAGAAAGGAAACATTGAAATCGCATCATATGACCCCTTTAAAGAAGATATTGTGAATTCCCAAGTTTCCCCAGAATTGAGGCAGCTTTCCTTAGAAGGTTATTAGAAATGTTATTTTACAGACTTATCATCCAAACCCAATTAGACGGGAATACGTGTTTAAAGATTGGGATACAGTTGAAAAAATAAAAAAATAAAAAAATAAACTATTTGTCTTTCCCCCTGCCTCCGTAAGCTAAAGAGGTGAGTTTCAAGATTCTAAAAGAGATTTACCCTACTAACGCATTTTTAAGATTGAAATATAATTTTGATGTAAATAATTGTGTGTTTTTTTTTGTGAAACAAGTATTGAAGCGTTAGATCACGTTTTCTTTTTGTGTGATACGGTACAACCTCTTTGGAGAGAGATGCAAAACTGGTATTTTTGAAGCATCATATGTATTTATTTTCTTAGTATTTTTATTTCTGGTTTAGTTTGGTTTATTTTGACGTTTTATTTGTTTATTTATTTTTCTGTTTTTGGTTATGCTCAATCAAGGCTGAATAAGATGTTATATTCTGGAAAGTGATTTTTGTACCTTATTGGTTGTAAAGTTGATGCAATAATAACAATAATAATAAAAACTTTGGACAATTCATATAGGGCTCTATGAGCTCTTATTATAGCAGAGCGCATAAAGTTTGACCCTTCACGCTTTCCGTAGTCCGCTGAAAAAGGTAAACACGGAAGTCCAATCCTAAATATAGTCTGGATGTGGTTGCTCTTAATATGTGTCTTTTTAGTGATTAATATGGTTATAAATCTGTAGCGGAGGACACAAAAGATCAAGAAAGCGTCAAAAAAACAAGCAGCTGAATAGTGGTGTCGTTCAGGCTTATATAAAGTTTGTACCGCACACGGAGCTGAGAACTTCAATGGCTTCAGATAAGCAAGTCACATTTGTGATCGTCGGTGGAGGAATCGCAGGTGTAACTTGTGCAGAACAGGTACGAACAAATCGATAACATCTATAATGACTTGCAGTGTTGGGGAAAGTTACTTTTAAAAGTAATGCGTAACAATATCGCGTTACTTCATAAAAAGTAAGTAATTGCGTTACTCAGTTACTTTTTATGGAAAGTAATGCGTTACGTTACTTTTGCGTTACTTTTTAAATCTGGACAGGGCTTGCTTGTTTGTTTTTAAAATTAAAAAGTTATGTTTTTGGCAAATATAAAAGCCTTTTCACACCAAAAGTGAAATGAATAAGCCTCAGGCTGAAGGGAATGAAAATTTACGTCCGTACAGTAGAATGCAGAAGAAGACATTTCAACACACTTCAGCAATAAAAAAA